TAAATTTTTTCTTCAGTTCTTTCAGTTTGAGAAATGCTGAGCGTGTTCTTCCCTTTTGGTTTTCAGACTCCAGGTCTTTGCACATTTCATTATAGTTCTTCATAAGGGGAAGCAAAAATCAGTATTTTAAGTTTTCCCCGCTTGGATGATGGGTTCTCTTGTTTGTGGGCTGGGGCTGTGTGAAGAGATTTCCCTGCCTAAAAAATATACATAGATTTGGTATTCTGGTTGGCAATTTAAGATTACAACTCCAAATTACCTCCTAGGCACCAAAGTAGCCCCAGTGAAAAAGCAAACAGGAGAATAGAAAAAAATCATCCTTAGAAGCCAAGGCAACCCCTCGGCCTGCTCTGGAAATCCACGGACTACAATTCCCATAAGGCTCTGCGACCTCCCCCTCCCTTCAGACCGTTATGATTTAGGGGAAAAGATGTGGGGGAATGTTGGTCGCGCTGTTTGTTGCGTCATCAGAGTGCGCCCTCAGAAGCCGAGCGAGAACTAGGCCACGAAAGTATGGCGGCTACCGAAGCAGCTATGGCGTCGTCGTCTTTGTCTTTGGAAACAGACACAGCCCCAGTTCTTGAAACTTCAGGAACAGCCGCAGCGACGGCCGCGATCTCGCCAGCGACGGCTGAAACCACGACAGCTGAGGCTGCAGCCGCGACGGCTTCGGCTGAGGCTGCGACTGAAACAGCGGCCGCGACGGCTACAGCCGCGACGGCTGAAGCTGAGGCCGAGACTGCGGCCGCCACGGCTGAGGTTGAGGCCGAGACTGCGGTCGCCTCGGCGGAGGCTGCGACCGAGACTGCGGCCGTTTCGGCGGAGGCTCCGGCCCCTTCGGTCGAGGCTGCGACCGAGGCTGCGGCCGCTTCGGTTGTGCCTGCGACCGAGACTGCGGCCGCTTCGGCGGAGGCTGCGGTTGGGCCTGAGGCCGCGGCTGGATCGGAAGCCGGTGACTTCAAGTCCGCTATGGCTAATAAGTTGCTGTCCTTGAACGGCGTGTTTGCTGTGCACAAGCCCAAAGGGCCTACTTCAGCCGAGCTACTGAATCGGCTGAAGGAGAAGCTGCTGGCAGGTATTGAAGCCTGGGTGGGGACCAGGCCGAGGCTTCGCCGCGAAGGGAAGGCCGCAGAGAGCACATGGGCTTTTTGCGACGCTCGTGGCCCAAGAGCTAGAAGGAAAGGGAGAACGACCACTGAATTAACTGTGGACATCTGGGGCATCTCGGGCTTGGACTTGGCCTGATGTGAACTCCTGTAGCCTAGTTGGCAGTTGTCGCTCTCAAGGGCGGGCGCGGGGGGGGGGGGACCTCAAGCCTCCCCTCTCGTGCGTGCAGACCAATTTTCTGTAACCTGATCTCTCAGGAGCCTTTTGTTTCGTGCACGTGAATGAACCCCACAGGAAGGAAGTACCGATTCTGTGCCTCCAAAGTCGCATTCCTAAAAATACGTGGGAAATGCAGATATTACTTGGCCAAGGCTTAATCTAGTGTTTTTCACGTTTTAGTAGGCATAATTACTTGGGAGACACTTGTAAAAATGCGGACTACTAATCCCTATTTCCCAGAGGTTCTGATTCTGGGCATCTTGGCTCTTTTTAAGAAACTGCATTTTGAAACAATTGCCCCACATTGCCTGTGGACCACAATTTGAGGAACACTATAATTTTTTTCACCTTGTTTTGGTTTTTCATATACGTAAACTAGAAAGTCCTGAAGGGTTAGGCAGTTCGCCATCAGCGTAGTAGATCATTTCAGACAGTAACATCAAGGAACGTTAGGTTTATTGAGTACCTACAATTAGTTAGGCCTGTGCTAACCTATAAAGACAAAGGTGATTCACATAATTGAGCTCACAGCCTAGTAATTTCTGCAGCCTTTGGTTTGTTTAGGTATTCAGGGCTGTCCAGATTTTGGTCCTGCTCTGCCTTTGTTAATTGGTACGCGAACTTTATAGTACTGTTACTTCGCAAACTTTTAAAAGTGCCAAACCCAGGTAATTGCCCTGATCAAAACCAAACCCATTGTCCTTTGGGTTGGATTCTGATTCATGGCAACCCTGTGTGCTTCAGAGTTGAACTGTGCCCCACAGGGTTTTCTTGGCTGGGGCGAATGGTTAAGCACTCAGCCGGTAGCTGAATAGGTGGAGGGTTCAAGCCTTTCCAGAGCCCCTTTGGAATACATGCCTAATGAGCTTCATCTGAAAAGTCACAGTCTTGAAAACCCTGTGGAGCATTTCTCTGCACATGGGATTGCCATCAGTCAGAATCCATCCATGGCGATTAATAACAACATGGTGGTCTTTAGTACACCAGACTCAAGATTGCTGTAGGTGTGGTTTGTTTACACATTTTTTTAAGAATGTTTGTTCCTTAGAAAGTGAATTCCATTTCTAGACAACTATTTTTGGGATAACGTTTCTTTGTTAATGTTGTCATTGCTCAGTATATGTAATTTGCAGAATACTTTTTGTTTTGAATAGTCTGCCCCCTTCCCCTTTTCATTTCTGGAGATCTAATTAGCTGTCTTGGTAATTACTTTTTTTAATTCCATTTACTTTCAGAAGCTGGAATGCCTCCTCCAAAATGCAACAAGCGGAAAAAGCAAACTTTCAAAATTGGGCATGGAGGAACTCTAGACAGTGCAGCCACAGGAGTGTTGGGTAAGAGATATGAATGGAAGTTTTCTGTACCTGCTGCTTAATGTTGGAAAGGTAGTGACAACATAAGATTGATAATGTTGTTGTTGTTGTTTGCCATCGAGTCGGCCCCGACTCATAGCGACCCCTCCTTGGGTTTCTGAGGCAGTATCACTATGGAAGTAGGAATGCCCAACCTTCCTTCCGAGGAGTGGCTGGTGGGTTTGAACCGCCAGCCTTCTGGTTAGCAGTCAAGTGCCTTAGCCACTATGCTACCAGAGCTTCTACTATTTTCAGTCTACTTTCAACGATTTTGCACCCACTGGCTTTCTATTGCCATGTTGTATAGAAGCTTTTCAGTGGTGCAAGGTATACTAGCCTATTTAGAAAGAGTTCTATCTGTGTGTGAATAGGGCTTTGAGAAAGGGTTTATACGTGTGTGTGGAAAAGAAGTAACGTAGCAAGCCTGAGATTACTGTCTTTCGAAAGACCAGCTTGCAAGATAGGCTCTTATCTGGTGTCTGGGAACTTGAATTTTGGAAGAGCTTTCACTCTTCTTTAACTGATGACAGTTTCCTGTGCCTAGAATGTGCAGACAATGTGGTTTGGACTGCTTGGAGAGATCAATCATAGGAGAATAGAAGGGCTGTGTATGTACAGGGAGATGGCTGAGGGTAGGGCAGGAGTGCATGGGAGGGAAGGACACAGGGAAAAGAACTATGGGGAGGAAGTAGGAGGGAAGCTGTTGCATTGTGGGAAATTGCAGTCAGTGTTGTGAGACAAAGTGTAGTGAGCTGCTGTATGGAAAGTGAATTTGCTCTGTAAATTTTCAGCCAAATCACAATAAAAATAAAAATAAAAAGACCCCAGATACTATGCAGTGGTAGAAAAGAAGCAGTAAATACATTATTAGGCCAGTTAACTGGGATGTCCGGTGAAACCATGACCCTAAACCTCCCAACCAAGGAACCAAATCCCATGAGGTGTTTTTGTTGTACAAAAGCAGCCTCAGCAGCTACTCTTTTTATTTTTGGAGGGGGGGGTGTTGTTATATCTATCAGACAAGTTTTGGAAATTCTACTTATTACAGGTAGGAAGATTATTGACAGCAATTATAATGATTGACTATGCAATCCTTCCCTTAATCAATGTGATTTTTCCATCACTGTTAACCCTGGTACTGTCTGTCCCTGGTAACCAGTAATAAACTTTGGTCTCTTAAAAAAAAAGAAAGAAACAACAATGTGGTTTAGGTTGAGCACCTGCTTTCCATCTAGGGCTCTGGAATTTTGTCCCACCTACACAGGCAGATGGTGTTTATGTGACCAACCATCAATAAAAAAACTTGGGTGCTGAGTCTCATGGAGTGCCCTGAGTGGAAACATTGCACACATGTTACTGCATTTCTCATTGCTGCAGAAATGAGTACACTCAAGTGTGACTCCTCATAGGAAGGAGAGAGCATAAAAGAGCTTGTGCCTGGATTTCTCACCTTGGCCTGTGCCTTTTTCCTGTATGATCCAGTTTTGTATCCTTACTGCATCACTAATAGATCTTAGCTTTGAACAAACTATATGAGTGAGTCTTTCAACATGGGGGCGGTCTTAGGGACCTCCAACATAAGCTGCAGCTCATTTTATGCCTGTATGACATCTCATCTCAGAGATTGTAGTCTCTTTAGAGACTGAGCTTTATAGTTACTGAGAGGAAGTCACTTTCTCTTGGAGACCCATTGAAAACTTAATTGCTTGTAGAGGGAAATTGGTAGAATTGATTGAGGGGAGAAAAATTACTGATGCCTTCTCATTCCATCTTTCTGTTTTTGCATCTGGTAGAGGGTCTGCTGTGTATCTTCATGCATAGCTAAAGAATGTATACATATGCTAAGATAGTGCTTTTCAAGCATTTTTTGTAACTGTATCCACAGAAATACATACGTAGGGATTCCTGCCATCCCGAAACACAATTTTATGGAACAATAATCTACCTTTTTACATTCAGTGTACCCTGATTTATTTTTCATTTTTTAAAAAATATTGATCATAACTCATTGATTTCATGATACAGTAATGCATTGTAAAATACTGTGTCCATTCCATGTTATTGGTGCTAAAATTAGATGAAAACAAATGACAACAAACCATGATCTAAGCTAACCAGTGCTGAGTAAAGCTAGGGAAAGAAATGTTTCTTTTTTTTCCTTGAAGTGAAGGATAAAATTAGTGAAGAGAATGATGTTTTTCAAGAAGATTAGAAACAATATGTAGGATTTTTGTTTTCTAAAATTTTAAATTTTATTTAATTCATATTGGCAAAAGATTGCTGGAGAATCTTTGAGGCTAAATAGAACTAATTTGTTGTTGTTGTTGTTATGTGCCGTCTAATTTAGGTGTATTAAATTACTTCCCCTGATATATAGTACTCACTAAATACTGAGTGTTGTTGTTAACGTGCCATCGAGTTGGATCCAACTCATAGTGACCCCTCCTTGGGTTTCCCAAGCAGTATCACTACGAAAGTAGATTGCCCCATTTTCCTTCTGAGGAGTGGCTGGTGGG